TGCCGAGTTCTGAAACCCGGCTGATATGTAAATCTTAGAAATCAATTATATTGCCAGGAGCATGATGCCGCTGGTAATTTCGCCCTCAAGCAACAGGAGGCAGCTGAATATGGCCTAGATCTGTTAGCATTAGGAGGGTTTTTTGGATTATACCCAGTGTGACAATTGAACAGCTTACTGCCTCTGAATATTAGTATTCACTTGTTATTGCTGCGGCCGGCCCCCGCATCTATTTTTGGCAGACCATAGCAGAGCTGGAACAACATTGTGGTGGTATTCATTATTCCCTTGGTGCTAAATAAAGAAGCGGTGGAGTCTCAGTGTTCTTTTTCTTTGTCTATCCTATTGTTTGCATCTGCGGAATATTCTGTATGCATGTGCATATGTGTCTTAAAGGTGTTAAGTGTGCATATGAGCAGTTTTGTCTCATTCTCGGAATCTGTTTACCGATCTTGGGTCTGGCTAAGAGGTTGTTGACCTGATTCTGGTGAGAGATGCCTTTTGAAATGCGGTGGTTTGATTTATTAATGCATCGAGAATTAAGTATCAAAGTCAGTTTTGATCATATTTTTTTCCTGTTATGTTTGTTTGACACACTTAAGTTAACTTTATAATGAACTGTTTATTCTTGGTGTGCGCTGTATTCTTAGTTAAATTGAATAATGAAGAATCCAGAATGGTTCCTGCACTATGGGTGAACTGCAAAAGTTTCGAATTTGCCTTTCGTTAACTGTTAGAAGTAAATCATGTATTATATGCATGTTAAGTTCATTTCTAAGTCTGAATTAGCTGTGAATGAGTTTGAATTTTTGTCTGTCTCTGTGTGGGTTCTGTGACAGACAGTTCGCTTGTCCAGGGTCTCCCCTGTCCCTCGCCGTATGACAGCTGAAATAGTCACCTGTTCCACCGTGACCCTGAATATTATAAATATTGGACATGCAGAAGAATTTGGAAGGATGAATCCAAAATTGAGAATGAAATATTTTATCATTTTGGGAGTCGTGCTTTCTCTGAGAAAAAGCCCTTGATATGCTATGTCCAGTGAACAGTACTATGCAAATGCTTTCAGCTCTCCCCCATGTCTATATGTTTTGCAAAGAAATTGACATGCAGAAATCTGTTGCTGCAAGCATACATGCAAATACAATACATAAGACAAAAACAGAGTTTCACAATTCTAACGAGCTTGAAAGCCAATATTGTTAATACCACCTTAATTCTTCACAGCCTTAATGCTCTTAGACTTTTAGACTCTTAGAGCTTTCTTGTCATTTCTTTAAATAGTCTTTAGAAACAGCTCTTCAGGCCTTTTGGAGGAAATTCAAAGCTCTTCTTTGGATGTCGGCTGCCTTTTGCCTTCTCTATCAAGATTATAGCCATGACAGAGCATTCACTGTGTTTTACAGATGACTGTAGACCAGGGGTGCCCAATCCCGGTCCTCGAGAGCTACCGTCCTGCAGCTTTTAGATGCATCCCTACTCCAACACAGCTGAATCAAATGAATGGCTTGTTATCAGGCCTTTGCCAAACACGATGGCATGCTGAAGAGGTAATCAAACCATTTGATTCAGCTGTGTTGGAGTAGGGATGCATCTAAAAGCTGCAGGACGGTAGCTCTCGAGGACCGGGATTGGGCACCCCTGCTGTAGACCCTTACAGTTGTACCTCACTCCTGACCTCCTCTGTATATATTGACAATAATCTGAAAGAAAAATTCAAATTTGGATTAATCACTCCAAAAGGTCTGTTGCCACTGATTTTCAGTCCAGTTCTTTTGTCATTTGGCATTCTACCTATTTCCCTTCCTTAAGAATGACATCTTGATAGCTAGCCTTCAACTGAGGCCATTTCTGATGGATGAATGATGATCAGTTAAAGCGTCAGATGAATCCAGTCTTTGATAGATGTTTTTCCAATTCCTCAAGGACATAACTTTCCTCAAATTTTGTTGAGGACATGCTACACACCGTGCTGAGATACAGTGTTTTCAGCTAATAGCTCCATGGGAATCACTGTGTTGGGGAAAAATATTCTTACACTAGTTAAGTTTTCTATTATCTCCAGTGTTTCTTATATCTGGGATTAAGTCTGATAAACTTTTAATTTTTAATTTGGGATCATTAAAAGGCAGTATCATAATACTGTCAATGCTATTATTTTTTCCACAATGAACACGTATTAATTTCTTTCACATATAAGGTAGAAAAACTGCTCTAACTAAACAAACCAAGCAAACAAACAGAAAACAAAATATCAGTAAGACACTATAAGCCAAATTGCTATTTTAACCATTGGTATCAGTCTAAACTTTCACAATCACTGCATTTTCTTCTCTATTTTTAGGGCACGCTGTGGCTAATAAAAAAGTTCCCCATTCCATCATGTTCATTGAGGGGAATGAGGCCACTGTTTCCATGGCGATATTTGTAATCTAGTCTGTCTCTAAGGGTGTGAGGATTGTTCTCCATTGTCCTCAAGAAAAGAGATGCAAGGGGAAAAAAGAGAGGACAAAATTCTGAAAAGGGGAGTCAGTCACAGCCTAGCTTGGGATATGCCAAGAGAGATGATTCATATGTGAATTATAGAGTATTAATATTTTTTTTAAAAATTATTTCTTTAACAGTATTTTATGTTCAGGAAAAACTGAAATAAACCTCTGTTGTTTGTGGAACTTAGAGTCCCAAAGATATCTAAGTTGACTTTCAATTTTGTGCTGTTAAATATTATGTAAGGTTTAAGGTGCAAACCTGGAAAAAATGTGGTGTCCAGGTTCTGTTGAGTCACCTTTCCTATCTCTGCAACCCCCCTTCTAAGCTGTCCATTAGAACTGATATGTTTTAAAGCTTGATTCAGAAGTAAAGGCACATTTGTCTACTGTGTACACATCACTTTCTGTTACTGCTTACTTGAATTGAAAAAGTTACTTGGTGGTTTTCCTTTATAGCAAGACACCTTTCAGAAATACTGAGATATTGCAATTACATATTGCAGTAAGTCAAAGGATGAAGTTTTTATCCACTTAATAGACAAACATGAAAGTAGAGACAAGGCCACGTCTAAAAATAGGGCTGAGATGGATTTTAAAAACACAAACTGCCACACATGCTTCCTGGGCTTTGTGCTTGTGCCTCATTAAATATTCAGGAAAAGAGCCATCCTTGAAAAAAGTTTTCAAAGATGCCAAAAGCTGCCCATTGTTCAGAGTGAGAGCAGCGATGATTGGATTTTGTTTGAACAAAAGAAAAGCTTCATCAAAGTTGGATTGTCATTATTTCACATGGCCCAAGACCGGGTGCAGAAAGTCTCATTTCTCAGTGGACTCTGACTTTGTTTGCTGCTTAATGTTTGATTCGCTTGAGGGTTTAAACTATGGCACTGTGTTGTCTAATTAGCATGTGTGTAGCACTTAATGATTTCTCAAAAGGAAAGATTTGAAACATGATCCTGAATAAACAAAACAATTACCATCATTTACATCACAAAGTGGTAAACAGACTAGATGAAATGAATGAAAATATCTGTGTAAGTGTTCTTATAGTGAAATACAGTGTAAAGAAAGAATGTAACTTCTTTAAGAATTAAAGGACAATGTACTTTTGCAAGTCAAAGGAGCTTGCAAAGAAAAGCGTCTGGACTTCTTTAAGTTGCTTGAAGACGTTTCACCTCTGATCCGAGAAGCTTCTTCAGTTCTAAGGTCAAATGGTGGAGGGAGAGTCCCAGATATAAACCTAGTGGGAGTATCCCTCCACCATTTGACCTTAGAACTGAAGAAGCTTCTCGGATCAGAGGTGAAACGTCTTCAAGCAACTTAAAGAAGTCCAGACGCTTTTCTTTGCAAGCTCCTTTGACTACGATGACCTGGATGACTGAGAACCTTCACAGACATACTTTTGCAAGTAAAGTTTGGTTTCTGAAAATTAGCTTTGTCATGCAAACTTTTTAGAATGCTACTGATGTACTGTCGGAGGGATCTGTAGGGTCCTCCTCAGTGGTTAGCACAGGAGCAATAAAAACACGTCAGCATTTCTCTCCTTGCTCGTTAAAAGCAAACTGAAACCAGCATGCATAACTCCTGAATAGAAGTAAATGTACTTGCAGACCTGGGATTTCTTTTGTTTGTTAAGTCCGCCATTACCACCCAATGTTAGCTACGTTTTTAAGAATAGTTACACACAATGGAAATGCAGAAATCTGTTGCTGTGATCTTTTATTCATTGGCATCATTCTTTTATACTTTTGTTTATCTTTGAAGTCTTTCTGCCCTCCTGCTGTGTATGACACAGCATGTGGGGGTATCGCTGCTATTTAGTTTATTCAGCAGACATCAGCGTGACACTGAGGATGTTTGACATCCTCAAATATTCCTGTGACTCTAGTCTGTGTTGACTGTTTTGTGGTTAACCATTTAAACTTTGATTCTCTTCAATAGATATTTCCTGCTCAAATATTATTTGACTGCACCCATTATAGGATTGATTCTTAATTTTTGTCTCACTCTTTCTTCATCTCTCTTCATCTAATCATTTTGATCATCTTGTAGTTTAATGTAGCCACTTACAATGCATGTGAATGATTCTTGACTCATTTTACTCGTTCCTAGAGATACATAACAATAATAAGGCAGGGAAAATGCATCTTCTGTATTACCCGTAGCTGCCATTGAATTTGGTTACTTTTCCCCTCTGCTTTGCATCAGCATCTGTCGGTGTTGATGAAGTAACACCGGAGACACTTTGTATCCTGGCATCGAGTTTTACCTTTTGTATGAAGCTTATTTATGTATTCCTGTGCTAGTGATAGCTACTCTCAATTTGAACAGAGTAAATGCACTGTGTTGTAGATGGGATGCTTCTTAAAATGGAAGTGAATGATACAGCATTCAGAAACTGGTGTTCAGTGTCGTTTGTAATAATGTCATAAGGAAGTAATGTATGGTTATTTAACATTATACGTTATAGAACAGTTTTCAGTTCTTTTTTTGTCTTCTCCATGTTTACAGGGGGCAAGTCCATTGGATCATGCTTCCAGTCCCAGTGTAGCCAGCATACAGCAACCTCGAGGGCGAAACAGTTTTGTCCACGAACACTTCCAGGCTCAGTACAGGTGAGAAGCACAGATGTAAAAATTGTGTTAAAGAACTTTGTTTTTAACATAATGTTTGTAGCATCAGGTGACTGGATGAATGTTCCTTATTTGTTGGTCTTTAAGCTTCAGATAGTTTCAACTGCACTCTTAGACTTACGCTGACAACGATTTTTGGAAACTCTTCCAGGTATCTCACCAATTATGCAACATTCGGTTACATGATGTCCTGGGGTTGTGTTCGAATAAACAGAATGAAATGCATACTTTTAAACATATATTGCTTTGGCTAAAGTGACAATGTATTTTCTCTCCTCTGGATAAAAATCAGTACCTTGGGAAAAAGTAGGTCGGACAGACCTATAAAGGATTAAGGGATTTATCTTTAGTAGTGGCCTCTGGCTCTTATTCCTTCATTCACAGCGGAAAGTCAGTGACTGAGGTTTTCTAGTTTAATAGATCCATTAATGGAACTGCCTCTAGACCTTTGAGAAACTTTGTCAGCACATGTGGTGGACTACAATAACATCACTTTGAACATTCATTTTTTCACTTGATTGCTGAACAATGTAAACTTGCTGCACCCTTGTGAATATCAGGATGTACTAAAAAAAAAATCTTTATTTTAAGTTAATATTCGATTGGATAGTCAGATGATCTAAAAAGGAAATAACTTAGTATTTGGAAGGGAGAGATTATTTTTAGAATAAAAAAAGAAACACACACAAAAAAACATATTAGTGAAAGGTAGTCTTGGCCCATAAAGATAGGAATCTTTTCAGCTCCTTGTTACTAAGCCTGATTGAAACTTGTGAATGTCTTTTATGCATGACTGTAAGGCATGCTGTCATCAGCAGTTAGGCCAGTACAGTATGTTTCTGCATGTAGCAAAATAATAAGGGACGATCTGATATCCTCGTGTTGGTGTTGTTCCCACGTCATCATAATAAATGTTGTTCCAGGTTCAACATTGCAAGTGACCAATCACATTGTTGTGACGTCCCCCTTTTGTGCCTTTGAAAAATAAAGCCTTAAAAAACCTACTTCACTTGCGAGAAGAGAAACCGTTTCTGTCCCCCGATCCAGGAACTTGAATTCTTTGCATTTCAGGATCCTTTAATAAACGGTAAGCATTATACATATTGTCCTTACAGAGGCGATTTCTCTTCTCGCAAGTGAAGTCGATTTTTTTAAGGCGTTTGTTGTTTTTCGAGGTCACGGATGACCTCAGGAGAAGGTGATTGGTCACTTGCAATGTTGAACCTGGAACAACATTATTTATGATGACGAGGGAACAACACCAACACGAGGATATCAGATCGTCCAATAATAAGACGGACAGTACAGACAAGCAGTTTCTGATAATCTTGAGATGTAACATTTATCCTTTTTGTTAGACTTACTGAGAATTTCTTCTACAATCCAATGAAATATAAGTTTCACGTTCAAATATACAGTGATATGTTTCTGGAGCTTGGAAAGAAAAGCATCTGGACTTCTTTAAGTTGAGCTTAAAGAAGAAGTCCAGACGCTTTTCTTTCCAAGCTCCTTAGACTACGAGATGACTGAGAACCTTCACAGACAGTGATATGTTTCCTTTTCTATTAGAGAAATAAGCGAGTAATATATATAAATTCATCAATCCCAATTTTTTGTGATTAACTCTGGCAGAGTGCTTGCTTTCTGATATCTCACACTTGGTCATTTTTTCCCAGTGGATTCAACATCACTATAATAGCTGCTCTGCAACATAGGTCACTAATACATGATATGTATAACTGGGCTTCCAGAGAGAGTGCTAGTGAATTAGGTCCATACTGTGTCTGAGCACATGAGATTTTATTTAGGAGGACTGTGTGGAATAAGAGGACGCCTTTTTTCATGGCTCATTAGTGTTTTTTAGCTGCAAAGCTAAATGTTTACTTAAAAACTTAAGTCAGTTTATGCAAAATTTAATGTATTAAGTATTTTAAGTATTTAAGTTGTTAATGTTTGCCCATTACATTTAAGCTCAAGTGGACAAACATTTGCAGTCCAAAGGTGGGCAATAAAGTCGCAAAAATGTATCACAGTATTACAAGAAATTTGTGATAATGATGATACAGAAAAAAAAAATTGAAATATGTTTTAAATGTGATTGTATGCATTGTCGTGCAAAATTTCGATAGAAAGCACCTAAGCATAGAAGAAAGTGTTTGTATTAATGGATGAATGAGGCACTATATACTGCATGAACCAGTCCATTTACCATTTAGAAGTGCATAGCAGAGCATTTCTAAGTGGAAACAAAGTGGAGGACATTTTCCATCCTTCTTTTCAGTTGCTTAAAAAGTTGCTTAAAATCCTCTTTTTCCACTGTTTGAATTATTTCCATTCGTGTTTACGCCTCCTGTCATACAGAGTCTAACTAGCAAGTGCCCCAGTTAGGCTCAGTTTGTTTAGTTTTGGGATGTACATCACCAGCTGCTCGTATCTGCTCTTTTCATGACTTCCCAGCCTGCTTATATTCATTCCATGGTGTATTTTTGCCTCAAGTGGTGAAACAAGTTCTTTTTTTGCATATTTTGCATAGCATTGTGCTTCATTGGAAGATGTTGAAGTCTCTTGTTACTAAATCTTCATCAAAGGTGGACATGTGACTTTGGCTGTCAGACGTGTGCTTTTCTCGTTGTTGTGCACATTAGAAAACATTAGACCAATAATATCATGATATTGCACTTTATCACGCAAAAATGATACCAGTATTGTCACAAATGATATGATGGATTCTTATGATGTGTTTGTTGACACTGGGAAGTCTAGCTTAGTTCAGGGGTCACAAATCTGCAGCTCTGAAGTCACATCCAGAGGCTACTTTATGTAAGGCTTTGATAAGAAACTAGATGAATTAGGGCTAAAACTAAAGATTTTTTTAAAAAAAGAAAAGAAAACTTCTGTAACCTATTAAAAAATGAACAATTTAAACTAAAGTTATTATAATTTTATTACATGTATCATAAGTCCTGATTCCCACTAGGAATAGTTTCCAACCTGCGGCCCTTTGCTGCATGTCTTCCTCTCTCTCCACTTTCCCGTGTGTCTACACTGTCTCTATCCAAATTAAAAAAAAACCCAAAAACGATTAGAAGAAGCATTAGTAGGAAGACGGTGACAGACTTAAAGCTGTTGATTGAGAATCAGCCTAAACTAGTACATATTTAGATCATCAAAATTGCTTATTCAAAACACAAATACTTAAAACTTTACTTTCTGCTTATGTGATGATCAGAGCTAGGGTTTTACGTTGGGCATGAGCTGCAGAAGATTGTCAGATTTCACCCTGAACTTTGGGTTGGGTTGAAGAGGGACATTTTAAAAAACCTGTCCCCAATGTGAAAGCCCAAATAATTTAGTAGCACCCATTTGTCGGTACTCTGGAAACGGGACATGGATTGAGTTAAATCTTCTCTGACTCACAGCTGATCACACTCTGGAGAATAGTGCTGTCGTGTCATGTTTGGTCTAACACGCACAGTTGACCTGGAGCATATTGGTGCTGGTCAACACAAAGGTTAGGCTCTGACCATTATGCTAAGTTAAGCAGTCATTCATTCATGGGATAATCCATTTCCTTCACTGGCAGATGATGGATTGAATGCTTACTGTTGAAGACTATCCCTGAAGACCATCGTCTCCCGCAGTACTCTCAGAGCGACTAATTAAAATAACTTGGCACTGTATCTACTCATTGAGTCAGCTGTAGAGATGAAGATCGCTCTACTTAGACCTCTTCTTCTTTGTCTTTTCCATTCACTCTTTCTCTCTCACACTAAAACATCAACACACACCTGAACGTTTATTAGATCAAACGCTAATTCATAAGCTGATTAGAGGAACTGTGCATTTTGCCATTAAAAGTCACACACGCATTAATACACACACGTTATTACTGAAACATTTACAAAGTGTACTTTGTTCTTTCCTCCAACTCATACCCTTCTCATACAGCATGTCCTCTCTCCTCCTTTTTTCCCCTTTGAGAACAATCCCAGCTATATTTAGACAAAGAGAAGAGAATTTTGTCTGTGAGTGCAAGCAGGGTAATGCTTTCTCCTTGCATAAGAGTGGCTGTAATTAGGTCTATATGCCACACACTTACACTTTCACAAACATACACCATCTGTCTTGTGTGTGTGAGTGTTTGTTCACAAACACAATTTTAGTCATTAGCTTGGGTTCCACTGTATCCTGGCATCGTTTTTAATGTTAAAGAAGAAAGGCATGGCTGCTTCTTAATGGACTGATTTTGTTTTCTGGTTCTGGTTTGAATGAAATAGATTGTAAAAGAAGGAGTGCAACGCAAAGACTGGACAGTTACTGTCTAACATCATTGCACTCTATAGTGAAGCTGTGCTAATGTATGACACAAAATATCATTCATGCGAGATATACCATTAGTGCCAGACATGCATGCACGCACATCTATCTATCTGTCTGTCTGTCTGTCTGTCTGTCTGTCTGTAGGGGTTGGCTGCTAATCTCTCAGTAGACTTTTCTGTGCTTTGATATTGAACTTTAAGGGGAAACTTAACACTGATCAGAGACAAATAACTGTGTTGTTATTCTGTCAAATTAGTACCATCTATTAATGTTATAGATGAACAGGACTGATAACGTTTGCTGTCAAGCTGCCATATTAATGTTAGCGTTTCATTATGTTGCTGTTGAAAGACTGCTAATAGTTAAATGGCGAACGTGTGCATCAGTCAGGTTACTGTTTATTATAACTTTTTAACACTGAAGTGTTATCGAAACAAAAGCTTTACTGACCTCTCAAATGCCTCATAAAGTGTCGTTGGATGTTTTGGACTCAGTGAAGGACAGGCTGCGTGCCTGCCTGTCTGCAACCATGCCGTGTGACATTGTATTCTAAACAGCGTGGAGGCAGAGATACTGTTGCGAATGAGCAACCGATTCAGTAGTCATTTTTAATATCAATCGCTGTGAAGTGTTGATTTTTTTTGACAACTCTAATTATAAAG